GAGCCAAAACAATGACAGCATGGTTAAGTTGAGCCAACACATTGACAAAACAGTAAGTAGAGTTGAGCCAAAACAATGACAGCATGGTTAAGTTGAGCCAACACATTGACAACACAGTAAGTAGAGTATAAATCTGTTAGCCGGTGCTTTATGTTTGCAATTTTGCATTATAATTAGGTAATTATGTCTGGCAAGGATGAACACCAGAAATAAACCGGTCAAAACTTGTGAATTGACAAGTAATTTGGAAATTTTACTGAAAACTACCAGATTTGAAGCAAGAGGCGATGAAAAATGGCCTGTGAATTAGTTTTTGACACATAATACAAGATGTAAGACAAGATTAATCATTAAAGTTTAATTTAGCACCTAAACTTATTTTTGAACGATGAAAATAACCATTTTTGACGAGTGTTTTTGTAGTAGATACAGATGTTTTCCGACGAACTCAATGACAGTTATCACAAGAACTCCTGAACAAGTTATCATAAGAACTCCATCCTTCGTGTAACACTTCCTCCCCCGTGAAGTAACGAAGACGTATGTTATAATAATGCATTTAAGTCGCGTCACGACAAAACAAACATAATGCATTTGCGACCAGCATGGATCATCCGCGCAGTCTGATCAGGATCCATGCTGTTCGCTTACAAACTCTATTACAAGTAGAGAAACTGATAGCGAACAGTGTGGATCCTGATCAGACTGCGCGGATCCATGCTGGTCGCAAACCCATTATGTTGGTTTTGTCATGACACGGCTCATTTAAGTTTATATTTCACTGACAGCATGAGGAAACAACCCTGAACGTCTCAACCCAACACAATTTTGCATGGGTCAAGGAAGAGAAACATAAATATTTTCATTTTTGGCCTTTCTTATTCTTATTTATATAAATTCAACATCTCAAGAGTAAATAACTATTTGTTACGTCAGCGACAACGCAAACGTTTATTAACGTCATTTTTTTAAATGACGTTTATGTTTTTTTCTCATACCGGAGGTCAGTTGTCATGTTAGTGTCTTTATATACACATTTGTATTTTCAGGGTATTCAGTTTCAATTTCCAGACATTAGTTAACGTTTCACAGGTTTGTTTAGTTTAACATGACTTTAAATTCTGGGCTTGGCTGAATGTTTTAAATTTCTCTTCATTTGATTCCTAAATTGCTATTTCCTGATAATTTGGTAGATATTTAATATAACAAAGTGTCATTTTTTCTAGGAAGAGATATCAATGAAAACAAAAATTGACACCAATCACGGGGAATTATTTCATTGATAAAATTCATGTTTAGTAAATTCAGGTTTGAGTCAATTTAAAGCAATATGTTCCATATTTACAAATCAAGTGATATCAAATAGAGTAATTCTCAATGTTGTACTTGCAATTCAGATAATTTGTTAGATTGTGGTTTAATATATTTCAGGTCGTTGCCAAGGGAATGATATAGAGAGAGAGAGGAGAAGGAGGGGCTATTGTTAATATCTTAAGCATGACGACCAATGTGGCGTTCCCCGAGCACACGTCATATTGTTCATGTAAAAGGGGTGATTCGGCGCAATTTAATATGTAGCTATCCGAGCCCCTGAGGGTCAAATGAGTTCGGGATTGTTAAAATCAATTCAACAAACAGCTTTAAGGTTGCAATCCAATCTTCAATTACTGTAAGGTTGTTATAAGAAGTCGATTCTATAGGTACAAACAACACTCTGCAATAAGTATATAACAATATGTAAATATAAAGTAAAATAAAGTAGAAACAATGCATTACATGAATTAATATCATATCGTATGTTAACATAATCAATAACATGTCTAGTGGCCAATTCAGTTCTTTAAACTCAGCAACAGTCCTTAAATATCATATCATAGCTTATGGAATTATACGCACAATTAACATATATTACACAATACATCACACATGTAACTTACCATCTGAGGGATGAGTGTAGTACATAAATCTAATAATTACTTCTCTGACTATCACACCATTAATAGTGAATAAAGATGAAAGGTGATTTGATAGATAATATCATTCTGAAACTCATACTTATTTACAAATTTCACAAAAAATGTTCTGAATCAAAATAGAACAGAATCACAATAATACAATTCTCCATATCTACAATAAAGCATTTAGCAGTAGTCAGGATAAATACGTACCAACTTAAGAAATAAAGAACTTGACCACAAACACTAATTTTCTAACCTCTCTCCTTTACAACATAACAAAGACACAATGACTTTTTCCCACCAAGAAATCACATGACATAAAAATAGCTTAAAACCAACGATCCGTGAACCAATCAATCATTTGAATTCTTAGAATAAGTACTGACCAATGTAAAACATAAGAACCAATAGAGTAATCTCCCTTGACAAGTATCAGACAAGACTGGCGGATTTGTCTCCCTTTGCAAAATTATAAAATTCAACAGTAAAGCAAGAGTATTGTCACTTAGACCTGATCTTAAAAATAAGACCCTGTTACATTCATCAAAGGGTGCTGTCGATACACTTACAAGAGTTATGGCACTTGAACTTGGACCACATCAGGTAAATGTCTGATTTCGCGCGTTTTTAGTTTTCATATATGATTATAATTCATTTTAATGTGTGGATGCTTTTGATTTAAATGAAATACCCAGGACAAATTATTGGCATATGCTTATATCATAATATTTATCATGTCGTAAATGCACGTGTAAAGCAATTGAAATATTGTCAATTAGAGCATGTCAGAGAATGGTCCACATTTGAGCCGCGTCACGACAAAACCAACGTAATGCGTTTGCGACCAGCATGGATCCAGACCAGCCTGCGCATCCGCGCAGTCTGATCAGGATCCATGCTGTTCGCTATCAGTTTCTCTACTTGTAATAGGGTTGGTAAGCGAACAGCATGGATCCTGATTTTGAAAATTAATTTGTATATAAAGATTTTTTCAAACTTTTTTTTTAATTAGATCCGTGTCAATACCCATATCCACTATTTTATGAAGACTGCCAGGCAACGAGCCGGGGAAGACCGCGAAACACATGAAATTTTGTTGAACCCAAGGGACATTTTTTGCTGGAAGTTTTTTTATTCTGAAGAAACATCATTTTTAAAAATAAATAAATTTTTTTCAAATGTTAACATGTTATACATGGTTTTCTTTTTTTCCAAAAAATTTTTGTTAAATCAAACTTTAAACCCACAAAATTAATCTAGCACTCAAAAATAAGATAGAAATCCCCATGCTCACAAAATTTGCTTCATTTGTGGAATTGTACATAAAGTATTCATCTTAACACACCTTCTGTATGAGATATGTATTTATTCACTTTTTGGTGTCTTTCAGAGCCCACGGATGTTTCGGATGGGACGGTGTTCTTGCTGAGTGACATGGAGAAAATGATAAACGGCACGATCTTGCATATTGATGGTGGTCTCACATCCAACTAACTTGCTATATAATCCGAAATAGACACTGTTAGAATTTTAATTTTCGAGACTTTCATTCTTTAAATACAATGATTTATTATTTGGAAGAAAATTTTGTCATAAAAACATTTATAATACAGTTTATCACGGCTTTAATTACAGTCGTGAGTATATCAATTTGTCAAGTAGAACTGTTTGTTAGTTGCTCTGCTATCTACTAGTATATTTACGTCAGTACGGTCGTCTCTTTCAAATAAAAAATACACAATATATTTAAATGTTTCTTCTTTTTTCCTTGAATAAAAAAAATTACACTTTGATACACTATGTATTACAAGTCGAATAAAAAAATGATAATCGTTGTTCACATTACGAAACATTAAAACAATGAAATCAGTGTGATTATTACAGAGATATTTAAAGGACTACAAAGAAAATAAATGGGAACGTGGACAGGTATTATGAAGTTAAAATGAGTAGTACGGTCATTTAAATTTTTTTCTTAACTTCTTGAAACGTTGTCAATTTAGACTGCGTGTACATTTTAAGAAGAACTCAAATTTACCCCCCCCCCAAAAAAAAAAGAGAAAAAGAAACAGATGTAAATTGTTGCATTAGGCATTTTTTCCTTTATCCCTCCCCTCAATCTAAAGATCCTACAATTGATATTTATCAGCATTAGACTTGTTGATAACAAATATTGATGCCACTGTGGGTACAGTAGAAACTTACTGGTCAGATCATAAGATTGTCTACTGCTGTTCTGAAAGAATCTTTACATAATAAAATCCACAGTGCTAACCCAGAAAAAAACCATTATAAAGCTTACCAGTTCTTCTTTAAAAATTCCCCATCCCAAGATTAAAAGGTATATCATGCCGTAGTATAAACTTTGCCCTTCATCTAATTATATACCTACTTCCAGTCAGATGATGGTCTCAGGGCCATCGTCTCCCCCTTTTGTAATTTTGATTTGCCGCATGGAAGTGCAGAGGGAACTTGTGAAACATATTGGTCACCGTCTGATAATAAAATTGTATTTCTCCGTGTGAATCTAAAATCTTTGCACATCATGATCAACGCCTATATCTAGCCTATCTAAGGAAAAGCAATTGACTCACGCCTATTATTATACATGTTACAATGTCTTATAAATAGATCTAGTTTGTTATTGTAAAAGTATTTTTACATTTATATTGCATTTGTTGCTACTGCGCAAAGTGTTTCCTTTTATAACCAACTCTACTAATCAATCTCATTGTGTACATGTACTACCTAGCTAGTCCTTTTCTATGCGATTTTGTGTGGTTTATGTGTCATTCGATTCAAAACATGGGTAGTAATTCTTTTTTTAAAATGGGCCTGACTAGGTGCCGCAAGTGTCAGAAAATTATGAATTTTATGTATATTTTGATAAATATTATACCAAATTTAATTTACTACCGTTCATCCTACATCAAAATAAGACAGAACTAAATTAGTACTATTAAACCTAACCTAACCTATTAAAGCGGAGTAATTTGTGTAAAAGAAATCAAATTAATATTATCCAAAAACCTTTGTTCTAAGATAAATAATTTAATTTGGATTGTATATTTTTTTAACATTTAATATTGTTCAAAATCAAAATATAGAGAAGTCAATGTTGGGAATTATATTTCACTGTTCTTCGGTTTTCCCGCCATACGTCACAAAAGTTCGAAAAGAAACAAACAAGAACAACATGGCGTCCACACCAAAAAGAAATACAAAACAGGAAAAAAGAAGAAAAGGCAGGAAGACGTTGTTGGCTTCTTGCACAGTGTGTCTCCGTTGAAAAAAGTTCCAAACCAACAAAAAGTACAAGTTTCAATGCTGTACAATACACACTGGTACAGACAAGCAACGGTACAGTTTCCTTTTAACAGTTTTTAAAAGCCTTATTCAAACTCAAATTGACCTTAACTCGTGTACATGTTCTCGAGGGGCAAATTTTAGAATTCACTGATTATTGTTATAATTGGCTGTAATTTGGTAATTGAACAATGGATTATCTTCATACTTGGACAAAACAACCATTTGGACAAGACCTAAAAGGTTGAACTGACCTTGAGCTTTAAATGACCTTGACCCTCAAGGTCAAATAATTGAATTTTGGTTAAGTTGTCATAATTTTTCTTATATACTGATTTGATTTATACTCGGACAAAACAAGACTTTCTACTAAACATTGAATAATTCACATGTGACCTTGACCTTTAATTGACATTAACTGTCGAGGTCAAATTAATGAATTTCTCTTAAAATGAGATTTGGACTATGTGCACAGTTTAAGATGTAAAATTGAACTTTGATATCTGCTGACCTAAATTTGATGAAGTGATCTGCTTTTAAACTCGGCTGACGTTGATATCATCTGACCTAGACACTTAACAAGAGATCTACTTTAATTGTCCTTTGATGTACAGCTATGAAATTTAGACAATGTGCATAGTTCCAGATGTAAAATTGAACTTTGGTATATGCTGACCTAGATTTTGATGAAGTAACCTATTTTCTTGTCCTTTGATGTACAGCTATGAAATTTGAATCACGGGCAGTTTTAGATGTAAAACTGAACTTTAATTATCAGATGACCTTGATTTTGATGAAGTGACCTACTTTCTTGTTCTTTAAGGAAAGCTATGAATTTGGACCATGTGCACAATTGAACATTGCACATTATAGAAATTATTCATACTTGGACAGAGCTCTAGATAGCTTGCGTATCAGCGTGAAATACGCATAGAAAATCTAAAATACACATCACTTTCAAAATTAGTGCGTCAAAGTTAAGCACAACAAAATGAAAATACGCCTGTATGTCAAAATCTAAGCATGAAAGAATAGAAGTGTAAACATTTGATATTTAGAAAGAGGATGTTTTGAACATAAAAATACAATATATTTCCATTTTATTGCATGAAAACTAAAAATTCTGTTGTCAACAACGCATGTTAAAAACGAAAGTAGCAGGAAGTACAGAAGGGAGGTAACTCCTTTAGATCAACCTATGAAATTATTGATAAAATTTGTGCCAGATAATCATCGTAGGAGTTAACATAGTATTAATTTTGTTTAGGAATGATTCTATTGACATGCTTATGCCTCAATATAAACAAAAATATATTTTAATTTCTTTCACTTTTGTTGTTGGAACAAAAAAACATGTTTTTCACCTGCAGTTTTGTACTCAATAGTTTCGTATCCAGTCTACAGTTACGGACAATTTTCTCTCAGACCAATACTTTTTTTTAAGGAAAGATAAAAAAATCTTGTTTATTTTTCTTTTATTCTAATTTCAACTATAATTGTTCAAACTGGAGTACATGATAAGGTACATGCCAACAGAAATAAAGAATCCTAGTCAGAATATAAAATAATGTCAGGGCTTCCACTCATAGGTAATCGGCGCGTTGATTGGTCACTACCCCCGCACCCCCCCCTCACCCCCACACCCACTCTACAGCCCTCCTACCTCTCAAAACCATGTAAAATACAGTATTTTTCATTTGAAACATGTTTTAATATTTGGTTTATGCTTTTAATTCAATAACCTTCATTTCCTACAAAAAATAAAAAATTGATACATATATATTTAGTAAAGGTATGCAACTCGCCAATCAATTTTCAGCACTCATCTTAATATGTACTCCATAACTTCAACATTTTTTCACCAATTTTCAATATTTTGGTACCAAATGGTAGGGAATTGATTACTCTTAAAGGAATTAAAGTTGTCATTACAATCATTTCAAGTTATAAGAAGATATGTAATCTCGAAGTCACGGCAAGTGTAACTCGACAGTGATCTGACCGCTGGGTTTTCTTCAAAATTACCCGACTAAACGGCAGTATATTCGAAATGAATGCATATTTCACTGTATTGCGCATATAAATATGATCAAATTATATTATTATTTGTAATAACTGTTCAATCAAAACATCTTATAAAACTATAACAACCGTTTTTTCCTATATGTTAAATTCCAAATTATAATGCAAGTAATAGTTCTACAGAGTGCTCTCCCCTTCATTTTTTGTACGGAGTATTTTCATTGGTCTAAGGTTTTCATACGACCAATGAAAATACTCCATACGAATGCTTCCGTTTATACATGTGTACTTTCATTTTGGATTGGAGAATTTGGCATATCGGAAAAATAATATAATGTTATAATTTTATAAGATGTTTTGATTGAACAGTTATTACAAATAATAATATAATTTGATCATATTTATATGCGCAATACAATGAAATATGCATTCATTTCGAATATACTGCCGTTTAGTCGGGTAATTTTGAAGAAAACCCAGCGGTCAGATCACTGTCGAGTTACACTTGCGGTGACTTCGAGATTACATATCTTCTTATAACTTGAAATGATTGTAATGACAACTTTAATTCCTTTAAGAGTAATCAATTCCCTACCATTTGGTACCAAAATATTGAAAATTGGTGAAAAAATGTTGAAGTTATGGAGTACATATTAAGATGAGTGCTGAAAATTGATCGGCGAGTTGCATACCTTTACTAAATATATATGTATCAATTTTTTATTTTTTGTAGGAAATGAAGGTTATTGAATTAAAAGCATAAACCAAATATTAAAACATGTTTCAAATGAAAAATACTGTATTTTACATGGTTTTGAGAGGTAGGAGGGCTGTAGAGTGGGGGTGAGGGGGAGGGGGGTGCGGGGTAGTGACCAATCAACGCGCCGATTACCTATGCTTCCACTAGTGGAAGTTTGGGAGTCATTTACTCCTTCATTTTGGCTTGTGACTTCCAAAATCTAATACTTATCCTTCTTTACCTAAAAGGACTTCCAATATCAGAGATTTTGAAGTCTTTGACTTCCAAATTTTGAAAATGGAAGCCCTGATAATTTTGCTGTGTATCCTAAACTTGAGTTCCAGTATACTCTGGAAGTCTGACTTTACAGAGCAGGTTTTGTATTGTTTCACATTGAATCAGTATTTTATTTGTAAAGTTTTTCTTAAAAAAAGAAAATAAACAAACAAAAACAATAAGTTTAATTTGTTTATAAAAAATGCAAAATGCTTTTTTTGACAGATTTTACCCCTTAAGTTTTTCAGAATTTGCATTTTACCCCTCACTCTAGATTTTGAGGGGTTAAAACCCCTCAGCCAAAAAAATTATCTGAAGCTCTGAGTCTTGGACAAAACAATAAGTGTGACTAAATCTACTAAGACAAGAGCTTGGTTTGAACCGGGTGACGCTCCCCAAATAGGTTTTGGACACAGGAAAGTACACCTCCTGTAGTTTCCAAGTTATGTCCCTGGACAAATTTCCAAGTGCAATAATTCCAAAATTAGGCAAGGTAGAGTTACTGCTCCAGTCATCAAATTTAGCAATGGCCCGGCCAATGTAAATTAGTTTGGGCCAGTGTAAGTTTTAAGAATATTTAGTTAAAACATAGTAGAATAAATTCAAAACTGGAATTTGGGCCAGTTAATTCAAAATGACTGCTGTTCTTTGCACTGGACTTCTAATCAATGAGATCTATGCACTGGACTTCTAATCAATGAGATCTATCTACCTTCAAAGTTTCTTGTTGATATTTCTTATGGTTTCCGAGTTATGTCCTGGACAAAGTTCAAAATGTAATAAATGAACAAAGGGCAATAACTCCAAAATAAGGCAAGGCAAAGGTACGGTTCTTGTGTACTGCACATCAACCCATTGAGATCTATTTACCTACAAAGTTTCATGTTGATATCTTTTATAGTTTTAGAGATATGTCCTGGACAAATTTTTTCCTAAACGGGGAGATAATTCAAAAAGGGGGCTAAACAGATTTATGGTTTGCACTGCACTTCTACATAATGAGATCTATCTACCTACAAATTTTCATGTTGATATCTCTTATACTTTTAGAGTTATGTCTCGGACAAGGTTTTTTCTAAAAGGGGAGATAATTCAAAAACGGGGCTTATCAGAGTTATGGTTATTTTGCAGTGCACTTTTAACTATTGAGATCTATCTACCTATATAACAAAGTTTCATGTTGATATCTCTTATAATTTTAGAGTTATGTCCCGGACAAAGTTCAAATTGTAAAAATAAACAAAGGGCAATAACTCAAAAATTAGGCAAGGCAGAGTTACGGTTCTTGTGCACTGCACATTTACCCATTGATATCTATCTACCCACAAAGTTTGATATCTCTTATAGTTTTCAGGGATCAAAAATTCCACTTGTCAGCTCGTATTAACAAGTAGACATCAATGCAGGATGAGTACAAAATTGATGTATGCTTGTCCGGTAGGACGAGCAATAATTTGCCGATGTAACAGAAAGCTAGGAATCTCAAAATCAGTTTGTTTACATTTAATGATGTAAATTCAGAAACAAGGCTTGTGTTTTAGGTTATTAACCAGGTTTTCAATTTTGAAAATCCTGGTTATTAGATTGGGGTATGGCGGGCGGATGGGCGGATGGGCGGCTGGGCGGATGGGCGGATGGGCGGGCGTCAAACGAAATTGTGTCCGCTCTGTAACTCTTCAACCCTTTGAAGAATTTTGATGAAACTTCAGACAAATGTTTACCACATCAAGATGACGTGCAGAACGCATGTTCCGCATGGCTGGCTCCAAGGTCAAGGACACAGTGACATTAACATTGAAAATCCTGTCCGCTCTGTAACTCTTCAACCCTTTGAAGAATTTTGATGAAACTTCAGACAAATGTTTACCACATCAAGATGACGTGCAGAACGCATGTTCCGCATGGCTGGCTCCAAGGTCAAGGTCACAGTGACATTAACATTGAAAATCCTGTTTATTACACTTTGAACTTTGTCCGGGACATAACTCTAAAAGTATAAGAAGTATCAAACATGAAA